ACTGATATCTTTATGAAAAGTAATCTGCAAGTCATTCAAGAAGAGAAGCCGGACAGCCAAAAGATTGAAGCTTGTTAAGTACAAGAGAACGGAGTACAGAGTCGAAAGCGGAAGAAAAGTCCAAAAACGCGCAATGCACATATTTGGCTTTCTCGTTAAGGGACTTATGGATGAAATGAACTAGAGAAGAGGTGGCATCTAATGTAGAGCGGTTATGTTTGTACGCAAATTGATAAGTGTCATCCGGGGTGGTAAGAGATAATTGAAGACGGTGCAGAACTGATCGCTCCGTCAATTTCATTTCAGTGGAGGTGAGAGTAATTGGTCTAAAACGCTTCGCTTTTGGGACCTTTGACGTTTCTTTTGGGATGAGAGTAATTCTCACTGAGCGCCAGCAGTCTGGAATAGTTCGGAGTTCGAATGAAAGAATAGCTATGTGTGCGAAAATCTGAGACAGTGGCAGAGCACCGTGTTTAAGAAGGGTAGGACTTAAGTCGTCTGGACCAGGTGCGGTGGGCACCTTGAGAGAACACATGTGTTTATACATCTCACTAGAGTTGATAGGATCAAACGAAGGTTGGATGTTTGGAGAACAGGAATCAGCATAACTGGGGTATTTGTCGGACGGAGAATGAATAAATGCATTATTCAGTTTTTCAATATCGATAGAAGGACTGGAAATCACTTTATTCTGCCTGCAGAGTAGATTGATTCCACGCCACATAGATTTACAGTTCCTCGTTCCAAAAAGGTGACTTGCATAAAGGTCGTTCAACCATCTTATTTCACTCTTGATCGGAAACGATAATCGTCGCATTTCGGCCCTCCTACCTTATTTAAAAGCACTTTCTTTTTCACATCGAAGACGTTTAGGAAAAGGTATTGATATTCTGCCATGTTGAAGGAACAAAGTCAGTACAGTACAACATATGTCAAAAACACAGTTTAAAACTTCTGTTAGAAATGTCATATTGGACAAGCAGGTTATGTTTAAAGGAAAACAGTCGGTAACTACCTTAAGAGACCATCTAAGTAAGACAATATTGTCTGGGGGAAAATCTCGCTGACGAAAAATTGTGTTTTGGTCGGATAAAGGAAAAATGTCTTGAGTTACCCCTAGTATTCCACAAGGTTCTGCATTTGATTCTCGACTTTTTCTCACATTTATAAATAAGTGATCTACCGAATGTGTTGGGTCAAAAAAACACAATAATGTTTGCAGACGATTCCAAAATCTGGAATACGGTAACAGACCCCGATGGACCTCTAAAACTTTAGGAATCACTTAACGCAGCTTATCAATGGTCTAAGGAAAATGACATTGAATTCTATGTTTCTAAATGCTTAGTCCTACATGTAAACCACAAGTGTAGGTTTGCGTAGTTCTTCGGAAATGAACAGCCTCCACATAGAAGTTAGATGGACTTATTAATAACNACTGTTCAAGAGAACTTAAGCTGCTCAATCAACTGTGCAAGGGATTTGTCCGCTGCTATGAAGAATTTCTGTTTGCTATAGGCCAGTCTATGGTCGGTTTGAATCAGCACTGTTCCCACGTTTGTCATCAGTATACATTCAATCGTATACAGAGTACGCTATCCAAGCTTGGAGACCACAGTTGTAACATCTTTATAAGATGCTGGAGCGTTCACAGAGGAAAGCCACCAAGATGATGAAGGGATTGAACTACCTCAACTATGCAGAGAGATTACGATCATTCGAGTTATATCCTGCTCAGTACCGCCGAATTCAACGAGATATGATTTTGATCTATCAAATACTGCCGAACCCAAACCGTCCCATGTCGGCCACTGCTTATTATGTCGAACAACATACATCGTTTCAAGGAACGGATTCCAAAGTATCGACTGGAATGCCGGTCGGAGTATGCAGTGGTAGGAACGCCCTTCTATCTGTTTCAAACGGAAACTTGATGGAACCCCTAGAACATCTCGTATGACTACACAACTAACGATACGCGCAAACTCGTTGAAGACTATATTACTCGTTATCTCCTATCCGGGACTGTATATGACCAAGGATCATTTTTTTTCTCCGCGAAACGATTCAACTGTATAAATATCACATGATGATAAGAGAAGAATGTGCATGTGAATAATTCCCGAGATACACTTTTAACCTTGACTTCGATTCAATCAAGAATGTGTTCACAAATCACGGTTATCTCATAGTTGGCAAGGAAGCTAGCCTTTATAATCATATTGAACTCAACCTGGAAAAGCAGCTTTATTGAAGTGTAGTAGGGATAAAATGAGCGCAACATTTTGAGTATGGTTGTACAAACTGTGAAGTTTAAGTTTTTCATTTCTAAAAGCAAATAATAACGAACTTGTAAAGATGGACGGTTCAATCAGTTTCCCGGTGGCCGAGTGGGTAACCTGCTGGTGTTCTATCTGTACTGAGGTCCCGGTTTCTCGATCTCCAGTTAGATCGAAGGATTTGAGCATTGTTACTGATGCTGTTTAAACAGATTGATCACAGGCTGATCACAGCTTCTTAGGCTTTCTTCCTAGTTTTTCAGTTTAAGACGAATTCCCCCATATGAGAAAATTTTTTTCCCAAGCTTGTGATCGTATTTATCGTCTGGTCAAATTTGTACGTGTATTCTGTTTTCTCCTCTCCTTCTATCATGTTCTGTTCCGTTCGCGACGTTGCCCCGTTCAGTGGTTTGGAAATCTGGTCACCTTGAATTGGTGGGACGATTTGTGGTTAAACGAGGGATTTGCCAGTTTCATAGAAAGTATTGGTGTGAACCACGTGCATCCAGAATGGGGTATGGTAAGTTTTCCTATTCAAACCTCTTTGTCGTGTAGTATACAAATACATGTTTGAAGAAAAAAAAATGAAAAACACCGGACCACTTGACTGACTGTCCCGGTTGACAGCGTTGTCCGATCAGCTTAGCACGAACGTGATAATTGTTATTCTGTAGATCGCATTGCACTGATCTCTGTGCACTGTTTATCATATGACAAACGTCAGTGTATATGGTATATATGTATATGAACCAAAGATAGATTTGACAAATGAAACTAGTATGCAATTAGGCAATCAGCTGTCTAATCACTGAACTTTTCCTCAAAAAACGGCAGCCACTTTTCTCAAACCGATGTGTATTGGTTTGGAATTCGTAACAACTACTAATTCCTCCCGATCAGAAAAAAAGTATACGGATACAACGAAATGATCCAGGGGATACATTTTACAAACCCGTATGTTTTTGGCCTTTCTGTTCAAATTCTTTAAGGGCAAAGTATGCTTCCAAATAAAATCACATTAAGTTTGTCTGTGAAATGAAATATACAACTTAAGTTGTTTTACACAAGTACTTGGAGTTATCCCGTTTCTAAACTATGAGATCACTTATGATCATCCAATACGAACTAGGTCAATATTGGGTGTTGGAAAACATTTGGACTGTTTACATGTATTAGATTACAACCCATTTGTGGTTGATTGAATAGAATGGGACAAGATTTGGATTACGTGTTTTTGAGAGATATCTTAATCCTATTGCCAAATGGGTTTCAAACCCACGCATGAATGTCACCTACACAGCTGTGTAGGTGTGTGCAACATACGTTTTGCCAACGAGGTCACGAGACCAAAAGGTAGTTCTCATGTTGCTTTTGATGACATTTGGTGACCCATTTAACGCATTAGGGTATCTTTTTACAATTAAATTTCACGAAAATGGATCCCCAAACCTTTCCCAAGTATTTTGGTTTAAGCCAGGAGTCGAGTGATTGGTTGACTGAACTACGGGAAAACTCACAACAAACCGATGTGATCTGGCCACACCGTACGTGCGGTGTGAACACTGTGCATAAGGTTGGACATTATTCGTTCGTGCATTTTGTTTACATCGAATTCCTCGCAAGATTTTCATCGGCAAATGAACTCTGGAAATTCGCGTTCGGTGCATCTCGGGCTCTAGGTTTCTCCATCCCGCCTCTGACCCGCGTCAAACTGTGCTTCGATCTGCTCAATGTAGACCAACCGGGTCTGCCGTATTTACTCACTGACTGAGAAGATCACAACTAACCGATAAACTGTCGTTTGTGCGATGAGATAGTCCTGTGACACAAATGTCCCCTCAACACACACACACACACACACATACACTGCGTGAATCTGTCTGGATTTGATTTCTAGGCATATGGTGATCCAGTTCTAAAGTTCACTACTAATCCTGTCTAAATTGCACGTCTGCTTCACCAGCAGTTGGATTAACTCCATATCGATGAATTGCATCCACTATCGAGCTGCGTTCATGACCAAATCCATACTTTTCGCAGATGAATCTGCCAGAGTACATTTCATTCCTACTGTCATAAATACACACAGCTATCGTCAGTGTCGTATGAGGTTTTGATATGTTAACGCTCGTTATTGTCCTATCTATCGGCTGACTGCCACAGACCGTACTTGGATACTAACCACGAATGTCTCAGAGGGCTACGGAGTAGGCTTGTTCAGGGTCTGTTGACAGTACGATCAAACGAACAAAGTACGCAGTCCGCGTGTGCATATGAAACCCTTAAAAAAGTCTTGTTATCCTCGATATATCCCTGAATATCATTGCTATCAATTCATCTTCATGATCTCTGTTTCCCTGAGCACATTCATTACACCATAGTCTCATTTGACAAAAATATGTCCAGAAGATGACAAACTCATTTGTTTATGTAAAGCTTTTCATATGGTAAATTCTATTTTCTCTGTACCTCAGGTGGAAAGATTCCTCGTGAATGCTGTCTTCGCAGAATTGCACGAATCTGGTGGAGCAGCCGTATCAGCAATGCTAAGATTAGACGCAGAGTTTTGGGTAACCGCGTTCGCTCACTGGATTAAGTGGGCAACCTCCAAAGATCACGTTGGTTAGAGAGTATGTGTTACGTATGTCACCAGATAGGTTGCCACGGTGAGTGATGTTCGCCGAGGCAGGTAGTGAGTGAAAAAAACCAAGGGTGGTCAGGCTAAGACCTGGCAGGAGGGTATGAAATCCCTAACCAGGAGACTGGGTCACATAGGTCCTGTTAGGCTCCCTGGCTGGGGACCTCGGGATGATCGTACCAGATGGTTAGAGACACTGAGTGATATGGTTCAGTGTAGCACATGTCCCAACCACCATAATCTTTGAATGACGACCACTTGCTCCGGTGGATGACCGGGATTACCTTAAACTCTTCGCCTAAACTCAGAATTGTTCGTACTCTTTTCCTACCAGACTCGTGTAATGCGACGTTGTTCCGGCTTTCGTAGGACATGCCCCAGCCACCTAAGACTACCAAGTAAAATGGTTTTGTTCAGTGGAAGATTATCTTTGCTTGTTTTGCTTTTGGGACTGAATACAGAAAAGGGTGCATCCACTGTACTTCATCTAATGCCATATCACAGTATCTCCAGCTAAGTATAATCTGAATCTTAGGGGCCCCAGCCGGGAAGTCATGAAGGAAGCTGATTCCGAGTACCATTTCTTCGATCTTTGTGCCACCTCGTAGTTTCTTCCAGCTCATACCAACGTCTGCAAATAGCGCACGATCAGGTATTTGTTGGAAGCATGTTTTACGCATGTCACCAAGTAGGTTGCCACAGCGAGTGATGTTCGAGTGATGTCCCTGGCTGGGGACCTCGGGATGATCGTACTCGATGGTTAGAGACACTGAATTATATGACTGAGTGTTGCAAATAGTGGTGTTCGTGCATCTTCTCAATTTATTTGCAACCTCAGACCACTGAAATTTTCCATTTTTCTGTTCGACTCTCGTTTCAACTTTCCTGTCTTCTCCTACTGTTCATCCAAATGGCCAGTCAAAACACAACAACCAAAACCGGAGCACAATAGTGCATAGTTGCATGATTGTACAAACTGAAACTCTGAAACTGAATTGGACACTCCTCCTGGTGCTCTTGGTCTCCCAAGTAGTGACTGCAGGTTGGAGGATGCGATTCACGGATATTGGACATGTGCAACATGATCTACCCACGCGTTTCCCTTTCGATCCAAAACGTGTGAAACAGTTCTTCATAAATTTCCCAGATTGCCCATATGCAACAGGAGCTGTTCATTCACATTATCTAGATGGTATAGAAAAACTGCGGACTACTCAATATGCTTCATCATTTAATCGAGTTGATGCAAATAGCAGATTGTGATATTTCGATCTATTTCAGTAGACCTATTCTTCAGAGGTGTAGAAATAGGCTTTTAAGCTCTGCTGGATGCGCTAACTGCCTGCTTCTCATTGTCATCGTTCACAGCTCTCATTTCAACGCAAACATCCATCTAACGACCGAGTGGTGAGAACCACGTCTTCATCAGATATTTGAAGAGGTATATTCCATTAAACTGGTGGTGACCAAGTGATTAGGTCACCAGCTTGTAACCTGGATATCCCGGGGTTCAAAATGCCCCATCACCGACCGCCTTCCCAGACAGCCGTTGTATGACTGCAGCTTCCCTCTTGAATGTTGACTGCACATCAGTGAAACAAAAAAATGAACCGGGGTCGTTTTGAGGCCTCGGATAAGAAAAAAATCATTGCTTGAGAAATTGTGAAACCATGCAGAATCACAATACAATACAATGACTAGACTTTCCGCGTGAAGCTTGAGGCAAAACTAGCAAATCCTCAACCCAATAGCCAAAACCTGTAATTTTTCAGTCACTACTCTTTGTTGTTTATCCGGTATGCACAAACTTTAGCGAGTCAAAAGTACCAGGATATTCTGAGGTCAGTACGTGTAGAAAACTATTTTCTAGGAACGTTAATTATGTAAAGCTTAATATTACAGAATGAGTTTTGGTAGTTGTGTACTGCACAGTGGACAGAAAAGCCTTTCTAGAGAGTTAAATAGAGGTATGCATGGGGATACAACCAAAGCCCTCCGATGAACGCGAACGCCGTCAAAAATAAAAGCCACCTAGTTACTCGGTAGCGATTTGATCAGATAGGGTATGATGGCAATGAAAGATAAGTTGTGTTGAACTGCTCCCTCTGTAGATCGATACCGTCTTAAGCAGTAAGTTGTTCCGCATTTACTGGACTGGAAACAAATCCGAAAGTGATTGAATAAAATAATAAATTCTCACGGTTCCATTGAAAGTGAACACCTTCCAGTAAAAAAGATAGAATAACCATCCGAGGAGAATGAACTCGTTTCATAAATAGGTACCCTCATTACTATCATTAGGATAAAACTGATTGCAACATTTGACACCATCATGATAATCAGTGGAACAGCATTGAATCCCCACACGTTCTCATTTCTTAACCCGGGGTTTGTAACCACAGCATTCATAAAACTGTAAAACTTGTCACATTCTTTGCGTTCAGACTATATTGCAACACACATTTTGATGTGACTTTTTTATAGCAGCTTACGTCTCAGTTTGTCGAGGCTAGATGACAACGGGTCCCGGGGCTAAACAATTACGAGTTTCGGCCATAATACTAAGCTTTTCCGGATAAACAATTGTTGGTTTTGGTTAAAGTTTGATGGCCGAACGTTTAATCTCTCCCCCAGATTTTGGAAAACTGAAATCTCCATGGGACATCAAAATCTTGAAAATCGAAAAAAAAACTGAAGACAACACTGGACACAAAATTGTCTAACATGTCTTACTTTAATTTCCCTGACTAGAATGTTACGTTTATATTGAAAATATTTTTTCCAGTATACTGAATAGGGGCATGAGATTGCCTGTTTTGCGGTGACAATAATTCCCTTCTTATATGGAGCAGTGAACCAAAGTCATTGATCAGAACTGACCATCCTTCGGACATCATCACGCACATTTCACAGTCAATCCAGTCAAATATACACTCGGAGAGGCACTAGACTCGAATTTCGCTCATATTAGAGCTCATCAGTAGAGCATATCCACCATCCCGTCCGGAATTAAAACCCCGAACCCATCGCATGAAAGGCGTGTATGTCACCACTGGGTCAGTCAGCTGAACGGAATTGCCAAGTCATGTTTGTTCTGGGTGTTGTCTTCAGTCAGTTCGATTTGGCACGATACCTAACAACAACACTACTTACAAGTCAACTGTGTACATCGTACTGTTTGAATTCAGACGTAGCGGAAGTTCCGTGTGGTATAATTTAATGAAAGGTGCACGCATGGGAACCAGGCTGGTTTGGAACCGGGTCGAGGTTGTATCGACAATATATTCACTCTTCGTCAAATTCTAGAACACAGACACTCCTTTTGTGGACCCACCATCTCAGTTTTCCTCAATCTGAAAACAGCTTTCGACTCAGTCGACCTGGAGCTGCCTCTGTCTGAAGGAAGTGACCGAGAAGTTTACTTCAATTTTGCGATCTGATTATGGCAGCAGTCGAATCCAAGTCCGAGGTTATTGCACCATTNCACCATTTGGCCCGAGTTCATTAGGTGTGTATGACAGAGTTCCCTCTCTCCGTTCCTTTTCAACTTCGTCATAGAGCTAACCATTGAAACAGCCCCATCCTCGTGCGAGGATAACGGTATCAAATTACTTCCAGATGACAGACGGCCTGATCTGGACTACACAAAAGACATTGTGCTGCTAAGTGAAGATTCAGGTAAGTTGCAAGCTTTTCTGGACAGTGCTGATGTACCAATGTTCGGTGTGCGTTCTACACCTTCAAACTGTAAAATGCTGCTGAGAGATTTGGTTGGTCCAGCATCCAACCCGGTGGACGCATCACAGGTGAAGTGTCAGCTCGTATATAAAAGGCTCGGTCGGCATTTGCCAACTTGAGATATCTGGTGCGCCGCCGCAACCTCCGGCTGTCCGTAAAGGTTCGAGTGTATGCTGCAGCAGTTCGGCCAGTCCTGCTCTACGTTGCAGAGACTTCGCCTCTACAAGAACAGGATAAAAATAGATTATCATTGTTCGAACACCGCTGTCTACGTCGCATTGACGAGTCTAGTGGGGTAGCAGGACGACCAATGCTGAGGTTAGGTGCAGAGTTTTAGGTCGTCCACTGAAGCAATTAGTCGACCACCATAGATTATGTTGCTTAGGACCTGTGGTACACATGTCACCAAGTAGGTTGTCGTGGCGTGCGATGTTTGGCCAGGCAGGTAGCTGATGGAAAAAGTCAAGAGTGTTCAAACTAAGACCTGGTATAAAGGTATGAAAACCCTAACCAGTTGATTGGGTTACATAGGTCCCGTTAGGCTCCCTGGATGGGGAACTGGAGATGATCGTACCCGATGATTAGAGACACTGAACCATATGGCTGGGTGTTACGAACAGTGGCGCTCATTCATCTACTCATTATTCTTGCAACCCCAGTCTATACGAATTAACTATCTTTTCTTTGACTCAGCTTTCAACATTCCAATCTTTATTCTGCTCTTCTATCCCAGTTAGTGGCCAAAAGACAGCAATCAGAACTGACGCACGAAAATGCATGGTTAACGGTTTTCAAAACTGGAGCTGAACACTATCCAGAAGACACTTGTGATTGGTGATGTCAGCTAATCTATATTGATTTTGACTAAACATTATTCGGACTGTATCTGCGCACACACACGCACACACATTCTCAGTCCCTAATTCAATCACAGAACATTCTGTAAAACCCTCCAGTTCGTCCAGGTTTCACCACCTATGGAGCTTTTGTGCTGCAGGTAACGTGACAGTGTCAGTTAACCCAGAGCTATAGATCAAAGACCGAAACTTGATTTACGACTCCGAATGACCTTTCCATTTTTATCGTGAGCTGTGTCATAAATCGGGATTCGTCAAGTTCTGATTTTGATCACCGTTTTGGAGATCCGAAAATAGTGTATGATTCCATTCCGCTAGCGGATCTTTTCTTTTTGAATTTTTCATATCCCGTTGATATTTTCTGAGTTTCTATTGCATAACTCTCTTGTTGTTGTTGTTGTTGTTGTTGTTATTGTTGTTGTTGTTGTTGTTGTTGTTGTTTTCGACCGACTGACCGGAACTCGATCCCACACCCCGTTCACCGGGACCATTTGCTTGTCAGTCACAACAAGACAATAACCATTGGGCTAAACTTGTTGAATGTGTTTCACTGCGGTAATCCTGAATTCTTTCAGATCTATTTCATCCATTTTGCTCATTTTAACCCAACTTATCCACACGGGTGACTTCGTTTGGGGAATATATTCGGGGAGGGGAGAGGAGGTCAAGAAAAATAATTTTGTGTCACTTTTTCCCATTCTAACTGAGACATATTCGGTGTCCGAGGAGATAGTGCAGCACACACATGGTAAATGACAAGTCCGGATTAAATAGCGAATAATTCATAGAACGTTTCCGAAGAAATCAGCTGTCATCCAGTAGACAAACACACTTTAAACAGGCATATACAGAAACGTTTATGGTTGGGAAATATCAATGTTTAAGTGATTCAATGAATAAAATAAAATAATTAGACCGGCTAAAAGGACTATAATAATCATAGAATCAATAAGAGTAAGAGCAAGAACAGATAAGTAATCTGCTGAAAACTTTTAG